CCCCCCCCACCCCCACCTCCCGCCAGCTGCTGAGGAAGCTGAGATGGCCTTGGCCTTGACCGCCATCCTGTGTCAGGATCTTGGATTGAATTCCAGGCCAAGGAGGGTTGAGGGGCCCATTGTCCAGTAGGGGAAATTGAGATCCAGGGACACAGGGAAGCTGAGCTCGGGTTGGAGCCAGAGCCCATGCTCCATACGCTCTCCTTAGTGTAGTCACAGGGTCTGAAGTGTGAATGGTGGAGGATAGGCAGAGGTCTCTGTCCTCAGCAAATGAAGAGGAGGGGGCTGGGCTGGGCTGGGGCAGGGGGTTCAGGTTGCAGAAGGATCCTGCCTGAGTCTGGACTATTTTTGTTTTTATTGAGGTATGACTCATATACCGTAAAACGAACCATTTTAAAGTAAACAATTCTGTAGCTTTAACACATTCAGTGTTGTGCCATCATCACCTCTGTCTACTTCTAGAACATTTCCATCAGCCCCAAAAGGAGTCACTCCCCATCTCCCGTCCACTGACAACCACTAATCTGCTTTTTGTCTCTATGGATTTGCCTGTTCTGGACATTTCATATAAGTGGGATCACACACTATGTGGCCTTTTGTGTCGCTTTTCTCAGCATGTTTGAAAGGTTTATCCACATTGTAGTGTGTGTTGGTGCTCAATTTCCTTTTTATGGCTGTATAATATTCCACTGTGTGAATGGACCACCTTTTGTTTATTCATTCATCAGTTGATGGACATTTGAGTCGTTTCTACATTTTGGTTATTGTGAGTAGAGCTGCTGTGGATACTCATGTACAGGATTTGTTTGAACTCACTGGGCGTTCAGGCAGCCTGAGGGGCAGGAGGTTGTCATTCTCCTGGAGTTGTAGGTGGGGAAAGTGAGTCCAACAGAGTGAGGTGACTCGCCCAGGGTCCCACAGCAAGGACTAATAGAGCTGCCACTCAGAACTGCCCCTGAAACTCCAGCGGCAATTCTCTGTCAGGCCACCTGACACCCCACTTGATGTTCCCACAGTGCCAGCGCTCAGGATCGGTCCAACTCTGAGGCCCCTCCCCCTTGGGGCAAAACCCAATTAGAACCCTGGTCTGAACACCCAGGCTGTGCCCACCAGCTGTCCCAAGGCTGTGAAAATTAATTGGTAGCCCAGGATAGCTGCTGGTGGGACCAAGGGGCAGGAATGAGGGCTGGGGAACTTAGGGGCTGAACATTGGGAAACCTGGGTTGAGCCTTTGTTCTCTGTGTGACCATGGGCAGAGCACTTGCTTCTCAGCATCGGTTTCCCTATCTGAGACTTTGGGACACCTCTCCTCCACATCCTCCATCATCCCCTTTCCTGGTCTGAGTTTGGGCCTTGATTTCCAGCTGCCCCTGGTCCTGGGTTCCACTCAGTGCTCCCTTTCAAGCAGCAGCTGCTCTGGGCAGCTGACTTGGCATCCAGTTCTGAGCACACCAGGCTTGGAGGTCACTGGGGCTGGGAGGAGGAGAGAGCTTTCCGCAGCACAGTTACCCCGACCTGAAATCGGCAGCCTCAGGAGTGGTTAAGTTCCTCATTGCCCAGGGTGTGTGAGACACAAGGTCCCAGTTTCCAGATTTACGTTCCCAAACTGAGAAGAGTCCAAGGTGTTTATTGCAACAGCAGATGTAGTACAAAACAGCAGATGTTCTACAAAATGTTGTCTCTGATGGGCTTGGGAGGACAAGCCACCCTGTGTCCCCAGGACTCCTGTGTCTGCAGCTATGGGGAACCTGATCCCTAAAGGAGGCAGATTTTCTGGTTCAGATAAATGACAGCCAGGATGGAGCTGGCTTAGGCAGTCCAGAATCCAGGGAACTCCCTGAACTCAGGGAGGGGTCCATAGGGCATAGAGGAGAGTGGCCAAATACTCTCCTAAAATAAAATTCCACCCTCTCTGGGCCCCTAAGACATCCCATCCACCTCTCCTTTCAGCTCCCTCTCCATCCCTGGCTGCTACTCAAACACCAAAAGCTGGTTCTCACCACAGAGCTTTTGCACAGGTGGTTTCTTCTGCTGAAAACTCTTCCCTATGGCTGGCTCCTCTTTAACCTCAGCTTCATCTTTTTAGGGACACCCCAGCCTCCTGGCTGAAGTACTCTGGTGTAGATAAAGATTCTGGTTGGGTGGGCGTGTCACTGCCTTGCGCTTGCTCCCAGGACCCCCTAGAATCAGACATGGAACCCGTTCACAGGGTCAAATGCCAAGCCTGTCTCTGTCTCACTGTGGTCTCAGTCTCTCTCACTCATTATCTGTCTCTGTCTCTTGCGTCACCATCTCTTTTGGCCACCATCTCTCTGTCTCTGACCCTTTTACCTTCTCTGCCTCTTGCCCTGGCCAGGCCAGGCCCAGGGCATGGGGTGACAGGCAGGCAAGACGCCTGCTGCTTGTTTTCCGCCCTCACTGGCAGAAGGCCCAGTCGGGCTGCTGTTCAGGAATCCTCCAGCCGCCCCGCTCCAGCCACCAGGCACAAACTGCCACCAGCCTCTCCTCCCCAGCACATTCTGTCCTAAGCAGGACGTACTGGGGGTGGATGGGAGGGCGGATGCGTTCATGCAGGGCTCAAGTTACAGGACAGCCCGTCCTGATGGCTTTGCTCTCCACCAGCGCTGCCCCCTGACATCTCCCCTCCCTGCTCTGGGCTTAGATCTTCCTAAATAGGCCCCCTCTGCCAGCTCATCCTCACCTCAGGACCTTTGCACCTGCTGTGCCTTTCACCTGCAGCTCCCTCTCCCCAGATCTACCCAGGGCTTTCCTCCCTGCTGACCTCAGATCACACATCACCTCCTCAGAATGCCCTCCCTGTCTCTAGGCCAGGATGCCCCCTCAGTCCCCTGCCCCTACCTGACGCCTTTTGCTTTCTGATCTTTCCCCCTCCCCAGAGTTATATATTTACTTGTTTGCTGATGTGTTGTCTATTACCCCAGGGCCCTGCTGTGTCCCCAACTCCAGGCACACACAGTAGGTGCTCGGTGAATAGTTCAGAATTGATGTAATTTCCTCCCAAAGTTCAGCTCTGCCAGAGCCGCCCAGGCTCACTCATGCAGCTTCCCATCCCCTCAGCCTGCCTGACCCTGTGCTCTCCTGCTGTTCCCTGTATCCTCCTGCTGTTCCTTGCACCCAACAATCTCCCAGCCCTCCTGCCTTTGCCAAGGGAGTTCCCTCCACCAGATCCACCTTTTCCAAAAAGGGACTGGGTCTTTCTGTCTCCTAGGTCCCTGGGGCTTCACACACAGGGCAGCCCTGATGCACACACACATGCAGAAACACACACATGCACACACATGGGCAGAGATACAGAAACGGGCCAACGAACTCAGGCATACGTGCATCAAACACGCTAACACCTGTCCAAATAGGTACGACAGTAATGACCACACTTACCCCAGCACCAGACGCCCACAGACCTGGTTGAGGGCTTTCAGGGTGTTCACGTGCAGTTCCCCGACTTGAGGGGAAGTGGTTATGGCTTCCGTGTTATGGGTGAGGACAGGACATGGGATTGAACCCCCATGAGGGTGTGCACAGACTTGTCCACATGCACCTCTGTCCTCACTTCCCCCACCCAGGAATTGTCCCCACCTTGTTTTTGATGTTCATGGAAGGCCAGGAAAGTCCCCAGAAAACATCAGGTTGGGCAAGGGGCCCAGGAGGAAGTGGTGACTCAGCAGACAGCCATCAGTGCCTGCCATGCTGGGCGGGTGGCGATCTGGGGGATTCACAGAGAACAACAATGAAGGATAGGGGCTTCAGGGTAAACAGCACCCCCCGCCCCCAGCAGGTAGGGGAGGGCAGGGAAGGTGCACCTCTGTGCTCCAGCACCTTAGCCCTGCTGAGCCCAATTCACGGGTGAAAAATCTGAGGTACAGAAAACAGGTGACTTACCCAAGGCCCCCTGTCAGGGTGGGGCAGGCAGGTACCCCCAAGTCCTTGGTAAAAGGGTCTTGGGGGCATCTACTCTCCCTGCCTGCCTTTGGTGGGCAAAAGGAGCCAGGTCCACTTCTGGGCTCCAAATGTAGACAAGTGACCAAATCTGGCCAATTAGAGCCTTTCATCACCCCAGACACAGGAATTGATTCAGGGATAGGCATATGACTCTGGCTGGGCCAATCATCCTGGAAGTTTGGGGGCTCCCTGGAGGTGATGATAGGGACCATCTTGCCACTATGACAAGGACAGCAGAACAGAGTCCAAAGGACATTGTAGTAGAGTCCACAGATACCCTCAGCTCAGTGAAGTCAGGCCACCCTGAGAGTCAGGCCAGAGGGAAGGTTGTGGGAACTGGAGAATCCTGAGACAGCTTCTAGGAGGAGAGGACATTGGCATTGGGGCTTTAGTGGATGAAGAGGAGCTCACCAGGTTGCTAAGGAAAGGTATCCCAGGCAGAGGGAATAGCCTATGCAACCATAGCAGGCAAGAGAGAGCCAGATGTGTCCTCGGTTATCCCAAGTGGCTCTGTGGAGCTAGAGCACAGATGAGGCAGCTGCCGTCATGTTTGTTTATTTGCTCCTAGGGCTAGGTGCTTCCCC